GTTTTCTACCATTTAAGGGTGTAAACTTGCTTAAGTTTGATACAGTGACTGTTCTGGCGTTTTTGAAACTACATGCTTCCTTTTTCCCATCAAGTGTTTTGTTACGGAAGAGATTTTTTTAATGAGTCTTGAATTTTTTTCGGGATAATATTTAGAAAACTTAGTAAAAAATGTTCAATGGTTTCCGAAAATTAGATGTAAAAATGATATAATGATTGATTTCTAGCTTTTCCCAGGCTTTTTTTCAATTAGAGTTACGCTAATTTTCTTCTATTTTGAGGAGTTTGCCAAAACTTCAATCATTTCGTAAAATCATGATTGGTATTTTTTTTGGAAAAATTTCAACCTTTGAAGATCTGAGATAAAATTGAGGTACCATAGCCAAAAACTTTCTACAGTTTTCTTCTTTAGAATAATTACCGAGTTTTTAAAAATAGCGTACAGTTCTCTCCGACAACATTTTTGTTGGCACTCATTGTTGAAAAAACTAAATTGTTTTTTAAGCTTTTTTGTAAGCTTTTTTGATGTCTCTGCTTTTTTCTTGTTTCTTCATCAACCCAAACTTTAACCAGAAAGTTGATGAGAGTGTTTCGACAAGAATGCATTTTTTGAAAGCCTACAAAGTTCTCCTTTGGTATGTTTTATTTTCTATTATTGAACTCAAAAAAAATCCCGAAAAATTTTCAACTATACCAATAATTTTTTAATTCCATTAATTGCTCTATCTAAATATTATCTACAAAAATCAAACTCATACATCAACAAATTTTCATACACTAGCTTGTCCTAGAATCCAAACTGCTATGTCTTGCGTTTTTCGATTTTGAAAGTAATCTATCCTCCCCTGATATTCGTCTCTGCATTCTTGTATATTCCTAAATTAGGTGGAAACCCTATCGCTTCTAAAAGTGTGAAGTAATTAAAATACTTCTTTCTTAGCACATACAGAAAATCTACACTAAAATATATGGTATTTCGATTATCTAACAAGATGTTTATTGACTGATTAAGTTATTTCCTCAACGCATCCAACAAAATAATGATTGTAACTTATTTTAAACTTTGTGCTTACAGTACAATGAATTAAATGAAACCTTTTTGGCACCATTACTTGTTTTTACTGCTTTTAAACAGTTTTCAGTTTATTAGTCAAGGTAGTTTGTGGTTGATAAACTGAGTATGGATTGAAATTAATCCAAACATTATGCGAACTGTTTTTGGAGCTTAAGAACTATTCATCGGACTAAAAATAAAAATACAGACCAGCTGAGGCATATTTTTATCATTCTTTTGATTGGGGATTCAATTGGATTTGAACATTTTTGCAAAGAATTTGGAATAGTTTGAGTTTGACTATTAGGTAATCAACCATAAAGAACAGATGCGGCATCTTGAAACCATATTTTTAACTGAGTTCCAAGATTAAGTGTTGACTCAAAGTTTTGATTCGTAAAACAGCTCTCTGTGTCGTGATGAAAACTATATTTGTAGTTTGTGGTTGGGCACTGCCCCCCCCCCCCCCCAATTTGATGAAACATGTTATTCTTCACCTTAAGTGTTATCGAACTTCGATATTTCAGTAACGCTATTGTTACAAAACAAATGGTTTAAAATGATTTCATCAACAATTAAAATTTATGTTGAGCCATTGATGGGAGTGCTTTCAAAAAATTCAAGGTCAACTCCTTAAGATAAACTTTAATTTAATTTTTGCTTTATCAATGAAAAGTTTCCTGTTTTCATAAAACTCGAAATTGTTGTCAAAAGCCAGTTGAGAAATTCCAAATCCACCTAATCCAATTAGAGAAAAGAAACTCGGCTTTTTTCTTTATTTTGCTTTAATTTTAAGCTATAAGTATGGCGCTCTGGGTGGAAAGAAAATAATTATGCACGCTTCATTCAGTCTATAAAAAGCTTTTTTGAAAAGTTTCGTCGCTATAAAAATGCAGTTCAAAGTCCTAATACTGATCTATAATAATATAAAACATATGATTCACTGCTTTTAATAGCTGCAAAGAAACTTTACATTATTTCTCTTAAAAACTGAGCGAAGGAGAACAGAAACATCTCTTACCAGAAAAATTTTTGTTATTAAGAATCGATGAACGTAGTCGAAGAACCTAGAGTCGATGAAAGTCGAACATTTTTTTTCACATTCAATTATGATTAATTGCATTTGACCTTTGGTTGCTTTTTCTGATCCGTTAAATTCTTTTGATTGAAGGAAAGCAAACTCCACTATTGAACAGCTAAAGTAAATTAGTCATAAAGACTGACTTCTAGTTTCGAAACTGGAATTCAATTATGAAATTTCCTTGCGAAGTAAAAGTTTTACCTATTGATTAATTTATCTCAAACTGTTATATTTTTTTTCAAAAAAATATCAGCCATAAGTTGTTCCAGACAATCGACGAGTTTCAAGGCCATTTATTTTTTTCTTCTGATTTCGGAAGTTGATTTTTTTTTTAAATGCCCAGTTTTTTCCCATTTTTATGCGTTCAATGTTTCTTTTCTGAGTACCTGTTTACTAAGTTCAATTATATATTATATCTGACGTTTGATTTGTTTATTTTAACTTTTTGAAGTCATTGTCCCTATATCTATCAGAAGTAATTTATCAAATTTTATCAACAAATTAAACTTCTTTTCTGATCCTATAGTTGTTTGTTATACTATGAAAACCATAGGTTGAAAACTATACCGAAAATATTAAAAACTAGTTGTCTCCAGCGCCTCAATTGAAAGAAAAATAATCATCAAGGGGACGGGAGATCTAAGATCTAAAAGGGCTCCCTCCTATTACTTCATCAAAGAACGGAGTAGATAATCATCATCAAAATATCAATAACAATAGTCATCATGCTAATTTTGCATCATCAGCAACTTTTTATTTGTCAGTTAATCTGCTTGTGGCTTACAGAGGAGGATTAGCGAACATTAGGAATATATTTGGGGCATCGGTTGGAATTCAGTGTTTAGGATCTGTTTTAAGTTTTTGGGATGAAAAAGAGAATTATTAAGGCTAGGTGGGGCATCAGCTAACTGTTTGACAAATCTCAATAAGTTCAGAACAGTTAATAAATCAGTGCTAACCTCGGAAGTGTACAACAGCTTGCTTAGCTCTGAGCTGAATTTAAGACAGCCGAAAAAAAAACATTGTTTATTGTCAGCTGTTTGAAGGACGTTTACTGTGTGACAGCGTGACAAAAAGCAATTATAAGACAAGGATAAGTATTGAGCAGTCTTAAAGTCAAAAGCTCAAAACTTCAGTACGAAAGTACAAAATAAAAAGTTTACTAAGCGAAACACATTTTGAAAGACTGCGATGCTTTTAACTAATCATGTTTATTTTTGTTGTGTTTAGTTTTCACTGGACACTAATAAGAATTTTTATGAAGGGTGGTAGCTTGTTTCTGTGGAAACAACAGAAATAAACAATGCACTCACTTCGACACCAAACTTAGTTTCAAGCAGTTTGATAAGATAATTCAAGCAGTTTGATAAGATAAGTCAGGTCGCGACGTAAACAAACAAAAATGGAAGTTTGACTTTTGTTAAAATATTACTCGAATTTAAAGTGTCTGGTCGAATCATGATAATTTTACCTGGATTAGTTGCAGATTACGAAGCGTTAAAAATTTAAAAATTAGATATTTTGGAATGATGAAATTTATATATTTTTTTTTCAGTTAGAACGAGTATTTTTTGATCCAAAACTCGAACTTCAAATAAAAAAATTCAAATAATTAGGGCATTTGTAAGGTTTTCGATGATTGAAATCAATCTGCTTCTCCCTTCGATCGTCAAAATTAAGACCATTTGAATGAACAGATGTTTTATGGTTATTCACTTTTGATAGAAAATTATAGTGATCAGTTTTTTCTGTGCTTGTTGCATCACAAGTGCCACATGTTATTTCAGCTGCATTTTTATTTACCTTATGCAACCGATTGAACGTTTCAGTCTACGTTTACAATCCCAAGGTCGGTAATCACTTAAAAATTTTGTATCGATCAAAAAATATTTTCACTTTATTAATACCAAATTTGTAAGCTTCTTAACATTTTGTTGCAGTTATTCCGGACGCGTGTATTGAAAATTTGAATCAAGAGTCTGAGGTTTTGTTTTGGTTTTGAAAAAGCAAATACGATAATCTCTGACTTGGTTACTGTTTGTTACAGTGAAATTTCTAAAAAAAAGTCTGGCAAAAAACATTGAGATTAAACATTCCAGACCTATATTACAAAAATTTGTCTTCGATTCGGAAAATGAATTTCCGATTAGAAGGAATTTGAATTAAATTTAGCTTTTTAGAAAAAATTTTTTTTTGGTACCTAAACTCAAAAACTTCACAATACTTTTAAGTTCCTCCTCAAAATGTGAAATTTTAGAGCAAAAAAGTTACTAATAAAAGTCTTTTATGTCTTTCTGCGTGTAGAATTAGCAGATCAATAGAAGAGGAGTCGTGATTCCCGAGATATGATCAAAATGTGTTCCAAGTTTTTCACATTTTCCAATTGTTTCATCGGAAACAAAGGACTGAATCACCAGGAAACTAATTAAGAACTAAATTGGAGACCTCTAAAGACTGATACATGTCGGACTCTGTTGTGTGATTCTCACTTAATACATGAGCAAACAATGAAAACTCGAATAGATGTTCGCGTGAGTTAATTAAAAAAGAAGAAGTTTTTAATGATGTATACGTAAAGACTTTCTAAATGCATATAGACAGAAAAAAGTAAAACCAAGCAGCAAAACCATAAAACGTAGTTAAAACACGAGAAAGTACTTTTTAGGCGTTGCTTTTGGTTGTCGAGTTTGGCTTTTTATTGGAACTAGTCACAACTAAAAAGTATGTTTTTATAACTACGTTATAGACAAAAATGACGATTAATTCAAAAGAAAATAATGATTAATCATTAATCATCCTACCAAGTTGAAAACGCTACGTTTAATCACTCAGCTTCGAATCAAGAAAGTAGTGTGCGGTTATGTTTTTGCTGTAATCATCATTATTCAGTAGCAACTAGTCAGCAAAATTCGGCTCTCAAAATATAATTTTTGTTCATTTCTTTTTATCATTCATTCTTGACCAATATTTTTCTAATTCTTGACGAGAAAAAATCTTATCTGCTACAACCCTTGAAGCTTTTCCAGGTAGTTTTTATTAGTTTGAAAACTAGGTCAGAAATCCAAAAACGTTCTGTCAGGGAAAAAACAGCTAAATAAAGGACAACAATGCAAGCTTGGGATTTTTTCATAACACAGCGCTCAATAAATTACCTCCATTCAACAACTATGCACGGATGTTTTTCGTCTGTAGACCTGTAGGCAAAAGAAAAAATGGTGGCATTTGATTCCAACTGTTCTGAAACATTAACTTCTGCGTTATTTTAAAGTTGCGAAATATTGCATTTTTTAACACTTGTGTAAAAGTACGAACCTTCTTTTTTTCCCCAGCTAAGTCGCAAATAAAAGTTCTGTTTCTGGTCGTACTGTGTACCGTAGGCTGATGTAGCAGTACAATGTCACGTTTGCTTTAAGATTTAGTTACTAAAAAGTTAACACTTTTGAGAAAGGTGATTGCACTTTTCTTTCATCGAATGAACCGAAAAAAAAAATCGTTTCGAACAGCAGTACAACGATAAAATCCTCGATTCCAGAAAACTTTTTCCAACTCATTGAATCTCGCAATTTTATAAAATATAAATTTTATATAAAATTTGGATATAATTTTTCCAAGTTTTTATATGCTAAATTGTGTTTTTTTTTTGTCTTTGCTGTCCCTTTTACGGCATCGAATTGGCAATGTATTAGAATTCGTTGTTGATGGCTATAGTTTCTGGGGAATTTTAGCTTCCGTGGCGTCATGGTTAGTGCATGAGACTCAAAATGGCCTGGCCGCAGTATTGAATCCTTCACATAGCCAATTTTTGCTAATTCGAGGCTTTTTTTCTACTTTTTCTTATTTCACTAGATAGAGCTGCGTTTTGGCCGTGTTCTCGTAAGTGTTTGCAAAGCGCAGCTCCTCCTCTGTGTCTAAAACTGAGTTGGCTGTTGCTCTCAAAGATGCTTGATAGTAATTTGTGATAGCGAAACCTTTGCTAGCTAAGTGCATAATTAATTACTGCTGCGTTTTTTTTCTGCAAAATGAGGGCACGAGAAAATTTCCGGTAAAAACAATTTTCCTTTTCACCTGTGTTTTTTTTCACTTGTTCCAGGTTGAACGAAAAGCAAATGGAAATTTATAAATCTCACTTTTCAAACATAAGTTAAAATTCCAAATAAGTTTCAAGGAAACCATAGAGGACACCACCAACAAAAAATACTTTTATTAGATCAACGAGCCAAAAAACGACTAGCATAAAGTTCGACATGCAAAATTATTTCACAAATCAAACTTGTTTTGACTAGTTTGAAAAAAAAAAACACAAAACTCAAGTTAGAATAGAACAGAATGAATCTTAACTTTGCAACTAAAGGTTTTTTTACTGCTTTTAAGAGAATAATTGACCTAACTTTAGTTTTGATGCAAATTGATCTGATTTCGTCTCGAAAATTTCAGGTAAAATGAATACTTAAGAAGATACGTTGTTTTTGATATTTTTGATTGTTTTGAAATATATTAAATCAAAATAAATCTTTCTAAGAATAGTAACTTCTGGATCCAATATCCCTCAATTACAAAATTTTCCTCAGATCGGCAAACAATGAAAAAACGCCAAATTTGCCATCTGTTTGTGATGCTATTTATGAATGAAGTTTTCGGACTTTTCTGCTAATAACGCTAAAACTTCAAATTTAATAATTAGATGTTTTCAAATTACTGCTGCTAGTATTAATTTGTTTTTTATTTTCGAAACTTTATGTTTGATGAGTTGTATGCTAAACAACCCTAATGATAGTCGAGTGGTTGCCGATTGGTCCAAAATACTTTTTAAAGGATATAGAGAGATAAAGAAAAAATTGTGTTCAAAGTTTTTCAATATTCAGGAATTAAAAATTGACGATGCCGATTTCACCTGATCAAAAAGAATTGTTCATCAAACTGTGCAGCGGCCAAATGTTCGGTGTCAATTTATTGTTTTTTTGTAACCTACACTATTGTCATTCGCGGACCTATATTCTTATGCTCATCGCGTCTTATTCGCGATGTATTTCAATAACGTTGATTGCTCTATATTCTTTATGGATCGCTTGGGATTCCGGTATGAAAAATGCCTATGGATACTTGGACTTTTGTGGCTATATTTCACTTGCCTATTGGCTGCTGGAACTTTCTCTGTCATGCATTTTCTTCGTGACTAGAAAGAAAAGTAAGTATCCGGGTAGTTCTGCAGATTTAATCTGCAACCAAAACATAAAACTTCCAAGCATTTTCTAAACAATTTCCAAACAAGTACAACTACAACCTGATATTGATTTTGATCACTTGGGTACGAAAAACATATCAGGACATAACTGCAGATTAAATTTTATCAACAAGTAAGTCAAAAAACTTCCAAGCACTTTCAAAACAAGTACAACTAACTATAACCTGATATTGTCTTTGTCAGTTTCAGCTGGGTAAAATCTATAAAAAAAATCGTCCATAGTTTTTTCGTAAATTAAACTGATTTCGGATGTGAACCGGTTGTTTGGCAATTTGGAGACTAAAAAAATAACTTTTTTTTTGACAATTAACACTGGCACCTGCCAGCTTTGATTGGGAAAATGTTTGCTTAATTTTTTGTTGTTATCAAAAGAACTTCAAAGAATTCTATTGTTTTGCTCTTCAGTTCTTTAAAATGTTTATTTCAAGTTTTTTACTATCCCAAATATTGAAATTTAAAGAGCAAGATCTACGCATATCTGTGCTAACTTTATTATTACCCTTGTGATAAGCAGTTAAGAGTTACTGTGTTTACAGTTAATGTCTTACTGAATCTACTAATAAACAAATCCTACAGCTGTGAAATTGTTGTTTTTATGGGCTTGATTGCTTTTGTCCCAATTTTTGTCGGTTCGTTTGTCAGGTTTTTTTTTGAAAATCTCTTCAAATAGCTGTTTGTTTTCAATTCTAGGAACGTAACACGCTCCAAGACTTTTCAATTCGCGTTTGTCAATACGCTTTTATAAAGATGCTAAAATTTTCATTTTGAAAAAAAAATTGAAGCACCTTTTGTTTGTAGTTCATTTGTGTTCAGTTTTTTTTTTCGAATGCCTTGTTTGATTTTTTGTTGTGATCGTGTTCAGTCAGTCGTAAAAATCTTACTTTCAAATTTTTGTTTGAGCACTTTCTTTTTAAATTAACTCAAGGTGACGGCACAACGTATTGTTTGAATGTCTAAAACTTTTCTAAATTAGTCCAAAACAAAATTTACAATGTAAATTTCCATACATACATCCGACAGAAATGTTTTGTCTACAAAATTATTTGGCAGGATATCGACGAGCTTTTTTGTCTACGAAGATATTTGTCTACGACCATGTTTGTCTACCTTTGTCACAAAGGTATTTCTCGCACGATAATTAGGAATGTGGTTGTTTTTGGTGGAAGTATTTTGAAGGCAAAGAAGTTGAAGGTAATTGATTCACTAACGGGTTTCTTATTTTTTTTGTGCTTTTCTTTCGTGTGGTTCGGCTACGTTACCGTTGCGTATTAGCTTCATATTTGACAAGATTGATGTTATTCAGTTGATTTCATAGGCTTTCAATTTTTTTTTTTGCTATTTCATTTTAGTTTTTTTTTTTCGAAATTTTTGTTTTCAAGTGCCTTTTGATACGCCCTGTTGTTCTTCATGAACATGCAATTTGTTAAGTATCTAAAGTTTTTATTGAAGTTTCGTCGTGGATTTTGGGTTTAGAAACCTTTCGATCATGATTTTTGGTTCAAAGCTGCTTTTTTTGTATACTTTTACATTTATTAATTTTAAAAAAAAAACTGAAGTTTGTGTAGCATGCAACCTCTATGTTTGCAATTGAGTTCTCGATGAATTGCAAAAATCTTGCACGGTTTTCAGCCAACGATTTCTAAATACTTCGGTGATATGGTTCTTTTTCGTACGAACTATGCTTGTAGTTTGGTATCGCCAGTGGTACGAAGCTCCGTTTCGCATCTGTTTAATATTTTCCTCCATGCAAGGCACAAGTAATGCCGATATAACGAGAGAAATAGTAAGAATGTCGCGTAATAGTTGCCGGTCAGGAAACTGTTAAGCAAATCGATTATGAGACTTTTTTGTCTTCCAATTATCTAACTACATATGTAAAATTCATCCCATGCAATTTTTTTATTCATTTTTTTTTTGGTTTTTGAACGGCTAATTTTTTGTTATTTGTTTGGAAATTCTTTTTTACACCAAATCATAATGTTTCTTTTGCAGCACTGATCTCCAAATTTTTTAGATTCATCATGTGAACATTTTTCCGGACTCAGGTGAACAATTTTCTTTTAGTTTATTTTAAACTACAGTGTCAGTCTTTATTTTTTTTTGGTTTACGCATGTCTTTTAAGCATACATTGATGAGTTGTTAGCTTATTGGAATGAAAGTTTTTGATTTAGTTGGTAAAAAAAATGATATTTCATTTTTGTAGAAAAGTTTTGAGTCATTGATTTTAGCAGAAATCTTAACGGAATTTTTTTGGTCAAAAAAAGAAACTGCAAATGTATGTACTGTTTTTTTTTGCAGATCAGTTGGCTTACGCAGAGGCGGCTTCTGAGAGTGAATCGAATTCTTCGAAAATACTGGTTGATGGGAAAGTACAGCCTCATAAGAAAATAACGGATTCAGAGAACGAAAAAGATTCTGAGAAAATAACGAATTCAAATATCGAGCTCGAGTCTGAGAAAATAACGGATTCTAATATCGAACCCGAGTCTAAAAAAAAACGAATTCTGTGAAAAAAACAGAAACTGTGAAACTAAGAAGATCAATAGCGAAGAAAACAGCAGAAAATTTCTGGTTCAGTTTTTTAGTTCGCATAGTTGGATTCTTGCAAATTTATGCGGCCATGAACGATGGTCGGTTTTTCATCGCAAATGCTCTCCTAAGCTTCGGGACCTTCGCCGATTTTTTATTTCCGCTTTGGGTACATATCGAACAACAACAGTGTTGGGTCGACGACCACTTAATCCAAGATTCAAAAGTAGGAAGTGGTAAGAAAATTGAGTTGTCTTGTAGAAAAAACTTAGATATCCAGTTTCAACTAATGGTAGAATTTGTAAATGGAAAACTTTTTCATTATTTATGGGCTTCAAAAACATAATTTTTTGAACTGCTTTAACCTGTGTTCAAAAAATTTTTAAATATGCACAATTAGGTTATTCGCGTGTTACTCAAATCAATAATGTGTAGTAACAATTCTACTTTGCAATTCTTTGGACACAGTTATTTTCAACGTTTTTTTTTGAATAATTAACAATCTATTTTTAAGTTTTAGAAATACCAATGTTTGAACATTACAATTATTAATTGATCAATAATTTGGAGTAATCATTTTTTTGGGTAAAGGGAAGACCAATTTAGGGTAATTTGAACAATTTCCCACGTAATTGACCCATAAAACAATCATCGACTACATTTACATGAGACATTTATGCAATAAAGCCGCGAAGATGGAAAATGCTGAATTTTTTTGGCAATTAATGCCTTTAGACAAGTGTCTTCTAATTTGGTGAAGGGGGAATCTCAAAATTCTCATTTGGTCCGCTATTTAGCTGTTCCAATAAATGTCTGTTTAGATAGAATAGCAGATAAAATGTTGAAACTCTTGTTCGTTTCTGCTATTGACGTCACCCGAATTCTTCCAACTCTTGTAATCTTGTGTTCTTGGTTATTGGAGCCACTCATTTGGACATCTGATGATCAATTGCTTCTAGGAGGAGTCTTTCAACTCATTTTGAATTGTCCGAAACTTATCGGGGGTTTCATTTTAATGTCCCAATGCATAGACAAAATATAATAATGAAAAGAAAACAGCAAACTAGTGGTATGGATGAAACCTTCATTTGTTTCAAAATTTAAATCAATTGTATAAATTTTCATGATTTGTAATCCAAACTTAACACATAAGCTTTTGGAACTAACTGGACTAACTGCTATTACTAGAAATAATGCACAACAATAAATATCAGAAGAGTTTCAGAAAAGTTTTCTACCTAGAAAGAAACTTGAAAAAATTGCCAAACATTTTGAGTGAACTGCATAAAATGAAATTTTGACGTTTAACTCATGAATTGAAATTTTAATTGGAAAGTTTTCATTGTTACCAGGTTTTTTATTACGAGATTTGGCACTTTCCAGATGATATGCTCGGTCCGTCCCAACTTCTATTAGAGTGATACTTGATCTTTTTTTGAGTTTTTTCAAAAGCAAGACAACAAAAACAATATGATATTTTCAGCCATCAACGCTTTTTGAAACTTTTTGATGCATTTTCTGAAAATATCTAAATATTTAAGATTAGTCGATTAAGATTTTTGACAAGTTTTTATCATAAGAGGACAAAAATCGGTTCAAATGAAAACAGCGCTATTTTCGCTAATAAACTGATTTCGTTTAACGGTAGTAATAAGTATTCTTTATTCTCTATTTTGCTTTTGATGTCTTTTTTGAGTAAACAGAGAGTTTTTTTCATAGCGCTTTCGATGTTTCAATGTAAAACATTTTAATCGTCTCATCTTCTAAAATTTTCTTTATTTAAACCTCAAGCTAAAAACTTGTTAAAACTAAAACTAAAAACTGGCTAAAAAAGCTAAAACTAAAAACTGATGTTGCAAATTGGTTCAATTGATGTCAAAATGCGGCATAAATTTTTTGTGAGTCATAAGAAACAGATTGAATTTCATTTAAAAATATAAGAATTGAAGCTTTAAACTTTTTTTGATAAGGTAACATTTCACCTCTGGCTTGAAAAATGCTGGAGCAAAGATAATGCTAGAATAAAACGTGGTCAACGTATGCTAGTTGTTTATTATAGATATAGACAGTTGTAATGTGACAGATAAATGTGATCGATAAAAGGAAGGACTTAGGGAAAAATTGAAAAAAAAGAAGACAAAACGAGAAAACTAAGAGTGAAGGAAACAATGAAAGTTAGGTTGAAGAATGTGAAATTACCAGTTTTCAAGTCATCAGATGTAGAAAAAGTCGTAGTCGGAAAAAGTTTTTGATGTGGTGGAGTGAATGCATTCAAATTCCGAGACAAATCCAAACGCCATATTTAGCTATGAATGTGAAAACGAACCCAGAATTCAACGAAAATGTAATTACGATGAATGGTGGCCAAGTCCACTTAGAAGACGGGTTGATGAAAATGATAGAGATTCTTGAGGAAGATTTGACACCGTTTTGAAGTTAGCACAGTCATGTCGTCAGTGGAAAAGTATGAGAAAGCCCAGAGATTAGTTGAAACGAGTATATCAAAATGATAAAGAGATCTCGACAAGAGTTGAACGAGGCTGATTTAAACACAAAACTAACAGACTGCGCTCAAATCAAACAAATCTTAGAATGTTCGACACATCATTGTCTTTTCTTCTGTAAATTAAGAAATCACCATCGCATTTGGTTGTTGATTGTCAACTGGACGACATCCTTTCCGGCGATACCGCTGATTTTGAAAGCAGGGTGCAAAACGCGCTAGTTGGATTGATGCTTGAAACAAAAAGTAGGCACAACTTTGATTTTTTGGGCCTGTGAATTGCGAAATACTGTGACCATATCGAAGTCAAGCACGTTATCAGGGATGTCATGTCTATAGAAGGTCATAAAAATGCCCGCAATTGACATTGAGACGGCCAATTGTGATGGTATGTCGACCATGACCCAATCTTTTTTCGGTAAAAAAATATTGAATGACGACTATGATCACACCTTATCTATCGAAAAAAACTTACTGATTTGTTAAACCTTCTGAATGCACGTGCTACAATGGTAGTGATAGTCCTTGAAGTTGTGTAGTCACGCTCAACAAATTCAGTGGAACTCCAAAAGGGATTTCTATGGAGATTGGAACCTAATCCAAACTACATTTTATTATTTATTACTTAGACATTTAATCACTGTAAAGTATTTAATATTAACCAATCACAATCCATCTAACTAACTACCCACTTATTTGTAAGTGCTGAAATTACTTGTAATTTCAGCACCAGAGAGATTTGAATTTAACTTAGAAAATAGTTGACTCTCCCGAGTACTTCAGCAGCCGCAACAATACCAGTATACTCTAGATCTATTGAGCCTAGCAGAGACTAGTTAAACACCCTGAGACTAGTAGTAATAAGAGTAAGATTAGGATCGGTATTAGACTAAGAAGTTGCACGAATCTATCCGGCCGAAAATAAGATAGGGTGACGAGCAGACGGTGTACCCTATCCGAAATTACTCTATGAGCTAGACATCCATACCTAACTCATCTGGTGCGACCATAAGTCTCGAACAAGACCGTAAAAAACAAAATAGCTTAGAAAAAATAGATTAGAAAATAGACAAAAACATATTCGAAATGTTATACGATAATAATTTAATTGAATGGTCTCTACGACTCAATAGATCAAAACCACTCTTCCGAACAATACTAGAACAACGACGTATTGGAAACAGACCTCGGACAAGAGATGACATACGACTACGAAGAAACTTACCGAATAGTTTCATGATCGTACGGCAAAAGCCACAACAAACTTTTATATTTAGAATTATACCGGCAATGAATTTAGATTTTCATTCACAAACATAAAGTTCTTGAAGAAAAATCTTCAATGCATTTACCAGGCGCTAAATAAATTATTAATGTTCAATAAAAATTGATAAAAACATCACTAATCGTTTCTTCAACTGCAGTACTATATAAAACATATTTTAAAATACTTTGTTCAAAATAAAAACAAAAATTAGTAGCATGACAATAAATCGTTAGTAGACATCAAATATCCTGTTGTTTCAGCTTCATCACCTAAACATAACAGCCATCATAATTAAACTAACTTCATCAAAACTAAAAGTCACAAATTGTTATATTAAAATTTTTAAACTTTATACTTTCTAAATCTAAAAACTTTTTAATCTTAAACCAGATCATCAAGGCTTATCCTTGGATCTAATTTAATTTTCTATCCTAAATTTTAATTCTGATCATCAAGGCTTATCCTTGGATCAAAAGAACAATTTCGTTCTTCCCCACCCACCTATCAAGTGTCTAACGACCTCAAACGTCGATTCACTCTCCAACCTTCTCAAAAGACCCAGGACTAATAGAAATTTTTCAAACACTAACCATTCAAATTAGGCTAAACAGTGAAGAACTTCGGTTGTTCATCCTTCACTTGACCCCTCCTCTTATACGACCCAGGATAATCTTAGACTTAGTAAGTTTAAAATAGTACCTAACGAACTACTTGCGTTCTAATTATACCTGAACCTTGTGGATCGATTTACTATTCTCCAACCCTTGAACACAATCACTACCCCTAAGTAAGATTAAGTAAGTTAACACCTTAGCTTATATTAGCCACGAGAAAGTAAAAATCATTCTCCGGAATCGATATACTTTTCTCTCCAACCCTGAATAAAAAGACCCAGGCTAAGCTAACCAAAAAATCGTAAGGACTAACAGTCTAGGAAATTAAAACCACTTACAAACAACCTTGCACCCATCATCTTAAACCTTATGTCATTAAAAAAATCTAGGAAATAAACAAACAATCGTCATACACAATTGTCAAATTGAAAATCAAAAATACGATCTTGTTATAACCCCGCATACACAAAAAATTGAATACATTCACACAAAACGGCAATCACTAAAAAGAACAATTCAAAGAAAACAAAGACAGATAACACGAAAAAGATTTTCAAAACACCGAAACGCATTTTCCGACTCAGAAGTCAGTAGTCTCGACGCACTATACAAAGTAGAAGATTCAATAAATCAGTCTTATCCAATTCAGGATTCAGTATATTTTTCCGACTCAGAAACAAATACAATTTCATCGAAAAAAGGAAAAAATAGAATAAAAAAGAAACACAAGCATAAACCAGTACATCTATACAATTGGAGTCAACCAATCAGACACATTAACAATTATCTATTAACAATCATCAAACGTAACAATGAGCAGCCACACTCAAAGTGAAGAAAGCATAGATCACGAACAAGCATTCCCTTTTGCTATAGACTCAGATACTGATAGAGGACAAATAAAATTCTGTAAAAATTTACTCATAAATCTATTTGAACCAGGAATCAGTCCATGTAAAACAGAATTTCCAGATGTAAGAATAAGAAGACAACTAATAGATCACTATATAAAAGATATCGCCAAAATAACACAACAATACGGTATCTACACTAAAGGAATCTGGACACCAGAAAACAAGAAATACGTTGTTCCAACAGATGATCTTGATCTCGAATTTTCAAAAGTATTCACAGAATATATTAAAAATATACAATACCATAACTCACAGAGAGCAAACTCAATATTCACAAATGAAGTTTTTGCCATAATATGCACAAGTTTGAATATATTAGAAACAACAGAAACCCAAAGTACATCACCAATTCAGACATCTAGACACAACAAAGTTAGAAACGAAATCACCGCATTTTCTACATTTTTATACGCAATCCGTGAAAGTTTTTCAAATAATGACGTTTCACAAAACTCCAAACACGACTTACAAAAAATATTAGCATGGTTTGTAATGGATTATTTCGGACATAATATAGATTTAATACACGAAGCAAGAAAAATTTTTAGACCTCAAAGTAACACTGACGACACAGTCATTCATGAACAATCAGATTATGTTTGGGACCCCGATTGGTCTCATCCATTATTTATACACTTCCCAAATGCTATTTCAAGTCAAGCGATATATACAAAATCTTTTCACCGAAATTATATAAATATTATACCATTAACAATTGACGCCACACCTTTAAATTATAATACATTTTTGCCTGATACACAAAACA